GACGCTCTACCGACTGAGCTAGCCGGGATGAAATTCGATGTATAATTGCCCCCAAGTTGCGTATATATCGCCTTGCTTCTTTCCGAAGAGAAGGTCGGGTTTGCGTGGTTCGCACAAGTCCGTGCGGTGCAAAAAGGTTATCCGAACCGATCCGATGTCCGCTTATTCTTCGGTACTCCAACCAACTGCCACCACCAGCACCTAGCGACGACCGAAGCGAATTGGACCTACACTTTCAAGGGACTCCGTGAACGAGGCTTGTCGGTGCTCGCCTTGTGTGCGCTGTGGTCAATCTGGTTGGCCGTGTCGTGACGGCTCTGGTTCGAATCGGACTGTTCCCGGCTGTGCCCAGGCCAGCAGCTCGAGCACCACAAAGGCGGACGGCTAGTGCTTTCCTTCGCTCGCTGAGCAGCATGTCGGACGTGCTGGTGTATTCAGGGCCGGGCGTTTCGACGTCTGCGCTGCACCATACGCTCAAGACGCTGCGGCTGCTGCTGACGACGTACGACGTCAAGACGGTGGACGCGCGAACGCTCGCGCTGGATCCATGGCAGAAGGGCACGGCGCTTGTCGTGCTTCCCGGCGGTCGCGATCTGCCGTACGTCGCTGAACTCGCCAAGCCATTCCGTCGAGACGACTCGCAGTCGACACCCTCGTCGCGGGGCGGGAGCGAGAGGACAGCGTCCAACGAGGTCCGCAACTTTGTACAGGCCGGAGGCAACTTCGTGGGCATCTGCGCAGGCGCGTACTACGCCTCGGGTCACTGCTCGTTTGAACTCGGCACACCCATGCAGGTCGACGGCGAGCGGCCGTTCCTGCGCTTCTATCCGGGCACTTGCCAGGGCACGGTGTACGCCGGGTTCGTGTACGAGTCCGACAAGGGTGCAAGGATCATCGACCTTGACCGCACGCTTGCGGACGGCAAGGTGGATCAGTGGAGGTGCCACTACAATGGCGGTGGCGCGTTCATGGATGCCGACGCGTATGCAGACCAGGGTGTCGAGGTGCTGGCGAGGTACGCGCGTACGCAGCCCGACGAATTGCGCCTCGACATCGAGCTCAGCGACTCTTCAGCGGCTCGCCGACCCGACTATGCGGGACAGGCTGCGGTGGTGCTCGCGAGCGTCGGAGCTGGCAAGGCATTGCTGTTCGGTACGCACCCCGAGTTCCCGCTGCTGCCCACCTCGACGCCGGTGTTGCTTGCCGAGAACAGCCAGGCAGAGGCGCGCGAGCACAGCGACCGCGCAGAGCACGAGCGCCAGCTGCGCGTGCACGAGCAGCGTCGGCTGCACTGGATGCACGAGCTCTTCACACACCGCCTCGGACTGCGCTCGGAGTTGCCGCAGTGGGCACTGTCGGCTGTGGTGTCGGACAAGGCGGCGAGCGCGCCAACGGGCACAGCGGTGGACACGGATGAGCCCAAGTTGCTGCCCATCTTTCTGTCGGCCGTCGGACGCGACTCGGACCACACGCTCGATGCCATCGCCAGCAAGCTCGCCGCCGAGACCAGCACGACACCGCCATCGCATCTGGCGGGATTCGATGCGTGCGATGCTCTCAAGGCGGCGCGGATTGCAAGTGTCAAGGACTCGAACGACGCCATCTACTTTGCACGCGCGGACGCTGAGAGTATTCAAGAGGCACAGGCGCTGTGTTCCGCGGCGGACTACGACGCATTCTCCAAGCCCATCATACCCGCAGCCACGTCGGTGGATGGCGAAGAGACAGGGTCGACGCCGGACAAGGAGGTGGATCTGGACGCCGTGCCCAAGTACGTCCTCATGTGCAAGGAGCAGAAGCCGTCGACGGACGTGCTGCCGTACTGGGACATGGCGGCGTACGAGACGCATCTGGAGCACTTTCGCGAGCTCAACGCGCAGCGGACGCAGGGGGCGGACCACTGGGCTTCGTGGCGCGCGCCGTTTGATCCATTCAACCCGTTTGGCTCGGCGGGTGGTGTGGTGGCCGAGCACCGATTCGGCACGCCCACGCTGTACACGCAGATGGTGACGTCGACGCAGACGATGCTCGACAAGAACTTCCGGCTGCTGGCGGCGCTGCCTGTGGGCACCACGTTCTTCGCCACGCAGCAGATGAGCGGCCGGGGCCGCGGCGGCAACCGGTGGATCTCGCCCAAGGGGTGTCTGCAGTTCTCGGCGGTGTTCCGCGTGCCGGTGAGCATGGCGAGCAAGACCGTCTTCCTGCAGTACCTCTCTGGACTGGCTGTGGCGGAGGGCATCCGTCTTGCGCTCGGCCCGAGCGACGCAGCGCGCGCCGTCGCCGACAAGGTGCGCATCAAATGGCCCAACGACATCTACGCCGAGATCCCCGCTGCCGACGAGGAGGGCAATGGTGGGGCGAGGACCAAGACGGCGACGTTCGAGCTGGGTGGCAAGCGGTATGCGAAGCTGGGCGGGATTCTGGTCAACTCGCAGTTCAGTGGCGGCAACGAATTTGTGCTCGTGTCCGGGTGCGGTGTCAACTGTCTCAATGCGCGACCTACGACGTCGGTGTCGGATCTGGTGGCGATGCACAACGATCGTGCTGCCAACGAGGCCGATCGGTTGGAGGTGGTGTCGCAGGAGAAGCTGGCGGGTGCGATCCTGTCGACATTCGACTCGATCTGGAAGGTGTTTCTGCAGCACGGCGGTGATTTCCGACCGTTCGTCGCGCGATACAGGCAAGTGTGGCTGCACAGCGACCAGGAGACTACGCTCACGCCCGACGCCATCCGCTCCGACGCTGCAGCACACACCGAGGGCGACGAAGGCGTACGCATCGTCGGAATCTCGTCCGACTATGGTCTGCTGCAGGCGGTGCCGCGTACGTCGAGCATTTATGCAAAGGACGCCAAGGCCTGGGGCAGCACGCAGGACGCACAAGCCAACGGCATCGTTCAACTGCAGCCCGACGGCAACTCGTTCGACATGCTGCAGAATCTAGTCAAGCGCAAGGTGTAGATCACACGGTTCGGAAGCAGCGATTTAGAAGCAGCGATTCGGAAGCAGCGGATTGTGTTGACGGGTGTTCGATTGATGGAGAGGCTCAGTTGAGGTCGCGTCGAGCAGCGCCTGGAAGCTCGCAGTAGGCGGTAGAAGGCGGGGGAGCGCAGTGCAGCAGTGCAGCGTGCGGACGCGCGGACGTGGAAGTGAGGGCGAAAGCGGACGTGGGCAGCGCAGCCAAGCAAGCGAGCCCAAATGCACATTCGAGTGGAGGCGCATTTGGCTGATTTTAGAATGTCGCGTGTGTGCCTGAAAGTGCCTCCTCCTCGTCCTCCCATCCAACGCCTACAAGTCGCTGACCATCATCATCAACAAACGCGGCGATCGAAAGGACCATACACAATGTCGACTGCGCTGGTAGAGGACGCGCTTGCGCCGACGCTCCAAAACATCCTGGACCAAAAGACGCTCAAGTGGCTCTTTGTCGGCGGCAAGGGTGGCGTGGGCAAGACGACGACGTCATGCTCGCTCGCCATCCAGCTCTCCAAAGTGCGCGAGTCGGTGCTGCTCATCTCGACGGACCCTGCACACAACCTTTCGGACGCTTTCGGGCAAAAGTTCGGCAAGGAGGCCACCAAGGTCAACGGCTTCGACAACCTGTCGGCCATGGAGATTGATCCGAACTCGAGCATCCAGGAGATGATCGAGCAGTCGGACAGCTCGGGCGGGGCGATGGGGCAGATGATGCAGGATCTTGCGTTCGCCATCCCTGGTGTGGACGAGGCGATGGGTTTCGCCGAGATCATGAAGCACGTCAAGTCGATGGAGTACAGCGTGATTGTCTTCGACACTGCACCTACCGGCCACACGCTGCGCTTCCTCTCGTTCCCCACGGTGCTCGAAAAGGCGCTGGCCAAGTTCAGCACGCTGGGTCGCAGCCTGGGACCGATGCTTGGGCAGTTCCAGTCGATGCTCGGCGGCGGTGGTGGTGCGAATCAGGAGGACATGTTTGCGAAGCTCGAGAGCATGCGCGAGGTGATCAGCGAGGTCAACACGCAGTTCAAGGATGCGGACAAGACGACGTTCGTGTGCGTGTGCATCGCCGAGTTCCTGTCGCTCTACGAGACGGAGCGGCTGATCCAGGAGCTGACGCAGTACGAGATCGACACGCACGCCATCGTGTGCAACCAGCTGCTGTATCCCAGCAAGGGCTCCAACTGCCAGCACTGCAAGGTGCGCAAGCAGATGCAGGACAAGTACCTCAACGAGATGGCCGAACTCTACGCGGACGACTTCCACATTGTCAAGATGCCGCTGCTGACCGAAGAGGTGCGCGGCACGGAGAAGCTCAAGTCGTTCAGCAACATGCTCATCGAGCCGTACACACCGCCATCCGAGTGAGCGGTGGTGCGAGTGACGGCCTTGTAGACCCAGTTGGTGCCCACAATGCCATGCTGTTTGCTTTTGTAGAGAAAAGGTCAGCTGTGTGTGATTCCGGCTCTGCTCTTCGCAGCTCTGTGCGGAAAACACAATCTGTTAGACCGTGCCGGGTGGTGGGGGGGAGGGGTGCGCCGCTCGGAGAATTTTGGGTCTCACTTGTTTTTTTGGCTCCTTATGCGACAGGCTGGGCGTGTGTGTCACATTGTGTCGGAGCGCGGGCATGCCGTCTTAGGAACTGAGACCGAGACGGGCTTGTGCCTGCCTGGGCTGTCTAGGCTGTCCCAGCGAGGGCAATGCTCGGCTTGGCCGGGTGTGCGCGTTGTGATCATCGACGGCATCCTTGGCCTCTCCTCGCCTGGGGGCCGAGCCGAAATGTGATGACAGCCTGTGCAGCCTGTGCAGCCTGCTTACGCCGCCTCCGCCCAACATCCGGTGATGGCCGCAGCCGAATCCCATGCGCCTCGAGCCCGCCTTTGGTCTGGCTTCCCGATGCAAGCTCGCATGCGATCGAGCAGCAGCAGCAGCAGCAGCAGCAGCA